GGTCTCTTTTGGTTTCTTGCAGTAGTGTTTTGTAGTTTTCTTTGTATAGGTCTTTTATGTCCCTGGTTAGATTTAGTCTTAAATATTTTATCTTTTTAGGGGCTATTATAAATGGTATGGGGCCCTGGTGGTACAGTGGTTAACCGTTTGGCTGCTAACCAAAAGGTCAGCAGTTTGAATCCACCAATTGCTCCTTGGAAACCTTATGGGGCAGTTCTCCTTTGTCCTATAGGATCACTGTGAGTAGGACTTGACTCGATGGTAACTGGTTTATGAATGGTATTGTTTTCCTGATTTCTTTTTTGAAGCACAGTGTTAAAGAGGACTGATGATAAATGGCATTATTTTTTTTTCCTATTCTCAGAGGGAATGCTTTCAGCCTCTCTCTGTTGAGAACAATGTTGGCTATTGGTTTTGTATAGATGCTCTTTATTATATTGAGGAATTTCCCTTCTGTTCCTATTTTAGTGAGTTTTTTTTTTTTTTTAATCAAGAATGGGTGTTAGACTTTATCAAATGTTCTTTTTTTTTACTACACTTTTTTTTGTGTGGCAGTTTTAGGTTTACAGAAAAATTTAGCAGAAAGTATGGAGAGTTCCATGCATGCCCTCTCTCCCCTGCACAGTTTCTTCTATTATTAACACTTTATGTTAGTGTGGTACTTTGTTATAGTTGATGAACAGATATTGATATATTATAATTAACTAATGTCCATAATTTACATTAGGGTTCACTCATTACGTTGTACAGTTCTATGGGTTTTGACAAATGCATAATGTCATGTATCCACCATTACAGTATCATGCAGTTTAGTTTCACTGCCCTAAAAATGCTCTGTGCTCTAGCTATTCATCCATCCCCTCTCCTCCTGAACCCCTGGCAACTGCTGATTTTTTTGTCTGTCTCTACAGTTTTGCCATTTCCAGAATGTCATATAGTTGAAATCATACTGTATGTAGCTTTTTCAGACTGGCTTCTTTCACTTAGCAGTATGCATTTAAGGTTCCTCCCTGCCTTTTCATAGCTTGATAGCTCATTTCTTTTTTATTGCCAAATAATATGCCATTGACTGGATATACCACATTTTCTTATTCATCCATCCATTGATGGACATCTAGGTTGTTTTCACCTTTTGACTATCATAAATAATGCTACTTTGAATATTTGTGTACAAGTTTTTGTGTGGACATATGTTTTTATTTCTCTTGAATAGATATCCAGGAGTAGAATTGCTGGGTCACATGATAATTCTATGTTTAACCATTTGAGGAACTTCCAGATTATTTCCCATAGCATCTGTACCATTTTACATTCTCACTAGCAGTTTATGAGGGTTCCAATTTCTCCATATCCTTACTAACACTTGTTATTGTCTGTCTTTTTTTATCATAGCCGTCCTAGTGGGTGTGAAGTGGTATCTCATTGTATTTTTTAAAAAAAATATTTGATTGTTTTGTTAATTTAAAAGAAATATAGTAGTACTTTGTATTAGGCTTAATTTACATTATTTTTTGAATTTATTTTATTTTTGTTGTTGAGAATGTACATAGAACATACACCAATTCAACAATTTCTACATGTACAATTTAGTGACACTGATTATATTCTTCGAGCCATGTAACCATTCTCACTCTCCTTATCCGAGTTATCCAGTGAGTTATTAGGAGGAAAAATAATCCCCAAACATCCCAAATGACACACAGGTAAGGGAGGAGGGATTTTGATCTTGAATGACTAAGAAATGGCTGCTTGTCTCTAAGTTCTGTTTGTTAAAACGGAAGGAGGAGACCTGAGATATTCAAATTTTCTGAACTTGGAGAAATTCCATTTGAATTGTATGTAAATTGTTTGAAGATATGCTCTGTTTTGGTTCCCTTCCA